CATCACAAATACATTTCTTTTAGTAAGAAAGTTATTTTTAGCATTAGTAGCATTTTACTTATTCCAATTCCATCCACTCCCCGCTACCCTTCTTTTTTAACTTGCTAAGTTTTTAGTTATTTTAATATTTTTGTATAATTGATAATGTTAATTCGTTCCGGTCATGTGTCCTGTGATGTCACAGAACTGGTATTTTTTAATTCCCCTCCCCCCCCAATTTAAGCAGCTTAGGTTCCCAATGTCTGTAAAACACTTTTGAGAAAGCCTTTTGCCAGGTAAAAGGCATTAAGTGTATTTATTATTTGTTTTCATCTACCTCACTTTGAGTGTATTATTTCTTATTTTATATTTTCATATTAATTACCTTTAAATAAAAGTACTTTTTTTATTGGACCAACCTTTGCTGCTATTCAGCTTGAACTACCATATCTGTGGTGGGGATTGTACCACCCAAGCCCGAGGGAAAGAGCAGTCCACATCTTCTCCATCAAATGTGAGTAAATTTCTTATCACTTTAATTGTGTTCTGTGCCTTACGGTACACACTATTTTGTTTTTTCTTTTTCCTTTTCTCCTATATTTCTGGAGGGAGAGACCACCTATCTATACTTACAAGTGGGCACTACACTATAATATCCTAAGCCCATATCCGCAGAGCTGCTTATGTTTCCACCATTTGAGTGACCAAAACCACCAATAAGCACACGGTATCCATAGGCGGGCATTGTTCCGCCCAGGTTTTCAAGTTGGAGCTACAATTTTAGCTCCAGGAAATTGTGAGTGTGTTTCTTTTGTTTTATTCAATTTTTTTGGACAGTGGCATACTACACTATTTTTATTTTATTTTTCTCCCAGGTTTTGTATATATATATTTTTTTAAGGACACTTTAGGTGCTGCACCACTCCTTGTACTTTCATCTGTTTTTGGACGGAATGAGAGACCCCGGCTCTGGTGATTTAGCTGACGTTTGTACTGTTCCAGTTATTGCTTAGCGCTGAATACTTTTTAGCTTTTTCGATATTCAAGGTGTGGTCTTACCAGCGATTTAGCTGACGTTTGTACTGTTCCAGTTATTGCTTAGCGCTGAATACTCTTTAGCTTTTTCGATATTCAAGGTGTGGTCTTACCAGCGATTTATAAAAGGCAAAATTATATTTTCATCCCTAGAATTTATGCCCCTATTTATACGTCACAAAACCTTACTGGCCTTAGCAACTGCTGATTGACATTGCATACTGCTGCCTAATTTGTTGTCTATAACAATTCCCAAATCCTTCTCATGTGGGGTTATCCCTAACTCACTACCATTTAGGGTGTAAATTGCTTGTGCATTCTTGACCCCGAAGTGCATAACTTTGCATTTCTCTATATTAAATGTCATCTGACATTTTAGTGCCCAGTCCCCCAATCTATCTAAATCCCTCTGCAGCAAAACAATGTCCTGCTCACATTTTATTGCTTTACAAAGTTTTGTGTCATCTGCAATCAGTAAAACATGGCTTTCAATGCCAATTGTAAGATCATTTATAAATATGTTAATGTCAATATGTTATATAAATAGAAGTGGTCCCAAAACAGAACCCTGAGGGATGCCACTTACTACTTTTGTCCAGCTTGAATATGTACAATTAATGACAACTCGTTGTACTCTATCCTTAAGTCAATGTTCTACCCAAGAACAAGAATATTCATCTAGACCAATTTTTTTTAGTTTGAAGACTTACCTATTGTGAGAAACCATCTCAAATGCCTTGCATCCACTGCAACACCCTGAACTACATATATACTTACTTCTTTGTAGAATGCAATCAGGTTAGTTTGGCATGACCTATGTTTTCATAAAACCATGTTGATTATTGCTAATAAAGTTCTTCCCAATGAATACCTGAATATTATCCATTCATAGCCCTTCAAATACTTTCCCAGTCACAGAAGTTACGCTCACAGGTCTATAATTTCCAGGCAAGGATTTTGAACCCTTTTTAAATATAGGAACGTCATGTGCCTTCCTCTAATTCTCCGGCAAAATACCTGAAACAAAATAATCTTGAAAAAAGATTCCCCACTTAGCTCCTAAAATACTCATGGGTGAATACCATCAGGCCCCAGAGCTTTATTTACATTAATTTTCTTTAACTGCTGTATCACCTTGTCTTGAGTCATCCAACCCCAAGTTATCTGCAGGTTTTTTGCAGCAATCATTTGCATAGCTATTGCCTTGGGATCCTCATTAATATACACTGAAGAAAATAGTTATCCAATCCCAAGTTATCTGCAAGTTTTTTGCAGCAATCATTTGCATATCTATTGCATTGGGATCCTCATTAATATATACTGAAGAAAATAGCTATTTAAAATGTCTGCCTTTTCCTGGTCTTCATTAACTAACAGACCCATCTCTGTTTCCAGTGTACCTACACTTTCCTTTTTTGTTTTTTTTAGAATTGATGTACTTAAATAAAATATTGGGTGTGGTTTTGCATTCTTTGGCTATCCATTTCTCATTTTCAAGTTTAGCTACTTTAATTGCCTTTTTTGCAAGCATTATTGGCTTCCTTATATTTTATATAGGATGCCTCTGATTTGTCTGATTTAAATGCTTTAAATGCCCTTTTCTTATTTTTAATCTCTTGTTTTACTTCTCTACTAAGCCACCTTGGTTTCAATCTGTTTCTTTTACATTTATTATCCAATGGTACATACTGAGAAATGTACCTTTCTAATATTTGTTTGAAGAGCTTCCATTTATCCTCAGTGTTTTTATGCCAGTTTATGCCAATCTTCTGTTCCTTATCTACCACAACAATGTCAGGTTGGTTAGCCGGTACTTGCTTGTCTATCTGGATCTGGTATTCCCACAGGATATCACCCTGGCTTGGGTTTTCAGGCAAGTCCCCCAAATTGCAATCAATAAAATTACTTAAAAATATTACATAAATGTGCACGTAGAATTTAAATATATATACATATGTATATATTTGAAGTCTACGTGTATATTTCTGAAATTATTTATGTAATTTTGTATATGGATATATGTATATTTCGTATTATTTTTATTTATTTATATATACAGAAATTTTACAGATATATATATATATATATATATATATATATATATATAAAAATCACAATAGTTTCTGGCACTCATCTCATAACAAAAGCATTAATTCAGCAATGACCAGGTGCCTCTCCGTGCAAAATATACAAATGGAACAAATTGGATTTAGTAAACAAAAAAAATCTATTAAATCAAACACATATAAATCAACGTTTCGACCGTCTAGCGGTCTTTATCAAGATCAAGATCAAGATACATATATATATATAATTTCATTCTACATGTATTTTGATATAAATATATATATATATATATATAAATATATTAATATCAAAATACAGTTAGAATAAAATTTCAGATAGATATATATTTTTTTTAAATTTTTATTATTATTTTTAAATTTTTTTAATTTAATTTACTTATTATTTGTATTTTATAATATATATATATATATATATATATATACAATATATATCGTTATTATATATATTATATATATATATACATGTGTAATTTAATTATAAGTGTATTTTTATATTAATATATGTATATATTAATATAAAAATATACTTAGTATGACATTATATATATATGATATATATATATATATACATATATTATATCTCAATAATATATATACAATATATAGAGTTATTATATATATTATATATATATATATATATATATATATATATATATATATATATATATATATATATATATATATATATATATATATATATATATATATATATAATTTAATTATAAGTGTATTTTTATATTAATATATATCTATATATCATATATATATACACACATATATAATTATATATGTGTGTATATATATATGATATATAGACATATATTATATCTATAATATATGTCTATAAATCATATATATACACACATATATAAGTCTATTTTTTATTAACATTAACCTTTATTTTTATTTTTTATTTTACACTTGCAGGGAGACTTCCTGTCTGCACAGGCAATCCCCCTGCAGGCAGACACTAGGACACCTATTGTGACCATGTGACCGCTCTTTTGAGCGATCACATCAACCCAGGGGTCCAAATTCGCCATGGGGAGACTGCCTGGGCTGCAGGCAGTCTCCCCACACAGGGAGCACCGGCGATCATCACCAGGGGAACGACGGCAATCGGGTAAGTACATAATACCGTTGTGACGGTTCAGGATCGTCAGCGGTCTGCAACGCTAAAATGCTGATGACGGTCCTGAACCGTCATTAAGGGATTAAGCTTCTACAAATCTTGAACATGGCAGGACATGCAGGCGTCCATTATTCACTGAACCAGCCACATTTGAATTATGATTGCTAATACAACATGTGATATCACCGATTGTGTGATATGGGACATGAAGTCAAAATCCACCTGCTAAGTTATTATTTTAATGTCATATATAATTATTTCTATTACATTTAGAAATGTAAATGAAATGTAGAGAAGTTAATTAAAACATTTTTCTACATAGCTGTATTGGTTAATTAAATACATTAGAACACGTGATTTTTGCAAGTGCAATAATAATAAAGAGGATAACATTTTACTGAAGCTCATATTACATGTCCAATGCACAGATGTTTAGTATTTTGCAATTGTTTTTGAGATACATAATAACTATCTTTGACATCAAAGAAAAAATGACTAAGTTGCTACCAGTTCCACACCACTTCTTTGTCACAGCTCAGAAAACAATGGCGTGGGATTGTGTTGGTTTACTCTGAAAATATTTAAGGCATCCAGAGACTCAGATATTAATGAGTAATCCATGTAAAAGCTGGGATTTTCTCAGTAAAGACATGTTCCGGCTGCTGTGTGATTACTGCAAATAGGAGAATGAATAGTGAATGCTTAGGTTGTGTAACTCACATAAACCAATGTCAAAACTTGCAAAACTTCAGAACAAAGCCTGTTTCCTTCAGTACTAAGGTAAGCCAAACAGTATGTAAATGTACTTTTATAGCTTTAGGGATAGTCAACCTTATTCCTCCCAGCTACTGTGAACTGCACCTGTCTTATGATTACACTGCATTTTATTTAGTTTAAATTAAATTAATTGTACGAGAATGTCTTTTACTGAACTAGAGGTGTGCCAGATATCAAAAATATATATACTGCCATGGTTATCCACTAAACTGTGAATTGTTAGATAATCAAAATAGGTTCTTAGAGGGTTTTCACTACAGTGAGAATTGCTGTGTATTCAAAGCAAATTAAAAATTTGGTGTCAAATAGTGGAACAGAATCTCCAAGCTAACTGTTTCCAGTCAGCCATTTGTTTTACTTAAATGTTCGATGCACTTTTAATTGTGATCAATTCTTACTTTAAGGAATAATACTTTAGATTTGAGGCCAAAATAGTGAAGTTTAAAAATATTAAAGTCTCTTATGTGTTCAGTTAGTCTATTTTGGCTAAAGATGAAAAAAATGTAAATGTACTTTTTACTCACTTTGAATATATAGATATATATATACGTAATAATTTGCTCAAAGTACTTTCAAAATCGATGTTTCACCCCTTTAGGGTCATTATCCAGACGATATATATTTATACATAGAAACACAGAATGTGACGGCAGATAAGAACCATTTGGCCCATCTATTTCTAAATACTTTCATTAGTCCCTGGCCTTATCTTATAGTTAGGATAGCCTTATGCCTATCCCATGCATGCTTAAACTCCTTCACTGTGTTAACCTCTACCACTTCAGCTGGAAAGCTATTCCATGCATATATATTTCCACTTGGATTATTGAAGCATCTAATTGCAAATTATGTAGCCACACATATGTTCAATAAACAGTTCATTGACAAGTAAATTAAACTAGTAATAACTACCAAATTAGAAAAAAACAAACCTTTTTCTCTTCTCAAGTAAGTTATTATTACTTTTTAAAATGTATTTCTCAATTTTGGGCCTAAAAAGCGGTTAAGTTAGCAATTAGTTGAATTAAGAGACGCACTTGAAATCATATTCCAAAATAGACACGTGGTAAATGTCTACATCGTACCTATCGTTCCAGTTTGGGTATTTTTGACCATATTCTAAATAACTGCATTTTAATTACCGTAAATCACTATCAGGTTTATTAAACTGTGTAACTGAACTGGGGTTTAATCAAAAAAGCCACACTGAATAATTTCTCAAGCTCAGCTGAAAAAGTACCCAAATAGCCGAATGTTCAGCTATTTTAGGGTATGTGTTTCAATTTGTTTTTCATTTCAATTCAATTTAATGTTTGTAAGCATTGTGTTTAGTCAATAACCCACAAAATGTATAATGTGTATTCTCTTTATACCTTGAAACATTACTTTTATCTGATTTTATTTTTTGTTTAGGCCTATTATTTTTATTAGTAGTACTGGCAGGCTTAAAGGATCACTATAGGGTCAGGAACACAAACATGTATTTCTGACCCTATAGTGCTAAAACCACCATATAGGTGGCTTGCCCCCCCCCTAGCCCCATTATAAAAGTTTAAAACTCACCTTATTTCAAGCGCCGCTCGGCTCGAGTCCGCCGGCCCTGGCTCAGCCCCCTTTGTGACATCATCAAAATGGCAGATTTTTAGCCAATCCTATGCTTTCTCATAGGGAAAGCATTGGATTGGCTAAAACCAGCACGGGGCGGGGCCAAATGCTGTTTTGGCCAATTAGGTCCTCCTCATAAAGATGCACTGAATCAATGCATCTCTTTGAGGAAAATTCAGCCCCTCCAGTGGCCATCTAAGGAGTGGCCACTTGGAGGTGTCCCTAGGGGCAATGTAAACACTGCCTTTTCTGCGAAAAGGCAGTGTTTACCTAAAAATGCCTGAAGGGAGTTATAATGCTCAACAGAACAACTACATTAAGTTGTAGTTGTTCTGGTGACTACAGTGTCCCTCTAATTACTAAAGAGAAAATTGTCAGGATCAGAAAATTCCTGCAGTTTGGCTGTTTTGACCTAAAATTTGAAATTAATTTTGAATTCCTGACAATTTTTACTATAGAAAATAATCCTATATGTTTGCTTCATGTTCACAATTCTAATGTGTGTTCTTCAGTTTTACCCCATTTTATTATTGAGATTATAACAAGTGCCATCAATACCATAGTTAATAGAAAGGAAAGCCTTGGTCTTGTAAAACATGTCAAATAAATCAAGGCAGCAACTCTGAAGTTTTACAGTGTTTTTTTCAGAGCACTGCTTGCTGTAGCGTGGAGTTGGGCAGAGCTCCAAAGGTGTAACATGAACACAAGTTCAGAGCTAGCTTAACTAGTTCATTCAACTTCCTCCTCCTGTGCTCATTACTGCTTTGTAGCAGTTACCATAGACCTGCATAAAGACACAGAACAGGGCTTTGCTTCATTTCTACAGATCATGGCTCCTTTCGGAAAAAACTATTGTTGAAAGCACAGCATAAGCCTAGGTAATACTCTATATTAATAGATGGGAAAGTGCACTTCTGCTATATAGCAGGTAGTGCTATTAAGTATCTTTCCAATATTTATCTAAATGTATTTTTTTGTACAGCTGATTGCAAACTGAATGTATGATTGAGTAGTAAGTAGTATGATGTATTATTTTTGTATTTAATATAGTGGGAATGTATTGGGGGCAATTAGTTACACTAATTGTGATGGCAGACAATAGCCTGTGAATTATGCTTTTCTAATGCCGCCTAGTAGCTGAAGATTTATAATTTATTAGAGTAATATACATACAATATTGGGGTCTCTGCTGGGTTTTTAAAAATAGAAAATGAATTTTTGCCTTCATTGCTTTACGTGGGTAAATAATGCATACCTGGCTTTTACCCTTTAGCATGACTACAGATGGATAATATTCTTTCATTTGGAAAAAGTCTTGTGTACTGTTAGATATATTTCAAATTATGTTGATATTTTTGATAGAAGATGATTTAAGTTGATGCCATTTTATTTATATTTAGTTTATTCCTATTATGCCAGTATTTGGAATGTGAACTTGGGATGCCTACTGCACCAACACAATATTATTCAAAAATGAATTTAGGATTGTAGATAACTTGTTCTAGTCATTTCAGTTGGAAAACTAAATTCACTGGAGTTACTGCCAATGTCTAATCATAGATAGATCAAATAAACTAGAAAGTTTTCCGATGTGCTCAAGAAACCATGAAATCGAATTAAAAGAATGCTTTCTGAGTTTGACTTTTGTACTATATTTTTGTCTGAGCCCACAGGTTGCTTAATGTACAAAAACTAGGAAAAATTCCTTAAGCAATCCTATTACATGGCAGCTTAAATTGTTTATTCTTGAGGAATTAACAACCCTCTCCTAGCCTGATGGCAGAGGAACATTAGGGAAAAAACTAATTAGACAATTAGTGTCTGCTGCTAGCCGAAACAATTTTAAAAAAGCCATCATATTCTATTGTGCTATACCCAGGAATGATCTAAACAAAATGAGCAGTTAGCCAGAAGTGACGGTAAAACCAGGAGGGACTCAACGAGTGACCCCTACTGCATATACTACCATAGTATAGAATGGAGGATGATATATATGTATATGTATATATATATATATATATATATATATGGTAAAGTTAAATATAAACAATCACTTTTATAAATAAACCAGAGGATCTTTGGAATGTCCATTTTCCAATTTCTTATATACTAGGTAGTGGTCACAGGCGACTGACTCTGATATTACAAACATCACATGTGAAAACAGATATGAAACAAAAAACAAACAAAAACAAATCTCGCTATTTGACAATTTTTAATATTCTACTTGAAAATATGAAATAATTCACAATTAAATAAAAAAATGCTGAACAATATGATTTTCTATGTCAAAAGGATTGCAACTAAATTCACTAATTAGTGCAGCATATAGTACTCCATAAGCATTGTGGTTTCAATGGCTCAACAAAAAGCCTTTTTACTGGTGTAAGTATTGTCTACTCAGGACCAGACTAACATAGTGGTGGGTGAAGCTCCAGTTTCAAGCCAATCCTGTTCTGATAGGCTCACACTACTGGATAACCTATCAATCTTGAAGTTAGTTCTTGCCTCTTCTCCAGATTAATATCCAATAAGAGCACGTTTAGGAATAAAGCTGAAGTGGGAATGCCGTTGCAGACTTCTTTGAGAAGGTGAGACATACATGCTGTAGTGATGCTGTAGTTGTTATGGTGCCCATTTTAAGCCTTTAAACCATTTTAGAATAGTTTGACTTCTTACTTGCGTCTGTTTTCACCACCATCACATCAACCAGAGTGCCAAATTCCTATGTCTGAACTAAGCCCTGCACTGCAATCAGTGTTCTCAGTCAACGAGTTAACCCAGCACTGCAGGGTTTAGCTTAGGAGCGCAAATGGAAGCTCTTAAGCATGAGTCTCCGGCTCGCTTCCTGAGGTAGTGGAAGCCGGGAGCAGCACCTGGCAAACCCAGGTAAGAAGGCAAACTGTTGTTTGTCTACATACAATGAGGAGCACCAAGGTACTCCAGTCACCATAAGAACTATAGCTATTTACAATGGTTATAGTGCTTGGAGTGCTACTTTATATATTTATGCAACTGGGCCCATCAAAACTTTCAGTACCAGAACCATCATGCCCTCAATCTGGCACTGAGTCTAGTGAGACCAGGGGTTTGGTTTGGTTCCCCCACTTTGTTGCTAATTTTAAACTAAGAACAAAATATATTGTTTTTATTGTTTATTTTTATTATTAAGCTAATACAGATTTGTATTTCTTGGTGAAGCCTGGTTTCTTGCTATCTGTTGTTTGGGTGCCAAATTGCTTTTTCCAATTGTTTAAAAATAGGCTGAAGAGGCTTTTCATTAAAGGATCAGTGGGCTGTAGTGGTTATGGTGTTTGGAGTGTTCCTCCTGATGAACCCTTTGATGCATGATACATAATATGCACAATGAGCAATGCAACTTTGTAATAATGACCATCTAAACCGTGTTCCCTTGCATACAAAAGTAGAATTGCTTGTTAGAGTTTGTTTTTTTATTATTATTAATATTATTATTGTTAATAATAACTTTAGTTATAGTTTATTTATGTAATATAATCTAATTTAGCCATAGGATTTATGTAAATAAAGGAAGGTTTGCACTTAGTCTATTCACCTTGTGTTATAATTCCAAGTAATGCCATCCCATGGTAAGTAGTACAAATATTTTTGAATGGTTTGACATGTCCCTTTAGATGCCCACAATCTAGCTTTCCTTTCTGGCATATCTAAACTAAAGGTTTGGATGGAATTCATTAAAAAAGAGCATCAGTTATCACTTTAGGACAATGAATAAGAACCAGAAATGGGCAGAATGGACTTCACTAATGTACCACACTGTAGTGGTCATGGTGTCTAGACTGCCCCTTTAATAATCTGTAGACATTTTACGCTCATAGAAATATCATAAATATGCATATATAAAAGATAAACAAATACAACGGTTGATAAATGCAAATGTTTTTATAAACACCTTATATTTTCCAGCAACTTTTCTAGCAATTAAGAAAACTCCCACAGAATCCAGTTATTTTTCATAATGTTAAGTCAGTTATATTCTATAAAAATAATACTTACAGAAAAAAATATACAAAGTTACTAATAAAATGCACAAAGGAAAATTCAATAGCAACATAATGTCACCATATCATAGAGGGAGATTTAAGAATTCACCTTGTAACTTAATCGTTTGGTTTTAATGCGTACATGTTTCACTCTGTTCAGTTTAACACAATCATTTTTTTCTCTGACTCACACCAAACTAACCAGTCAGGGGGCAGACTGTATAACTCATTGAAAATAAATCTTTTGTAGAAAATAATGAATGACATGAACCAATTGAAGCTAAATAATTGAGTTTCTCTCCAGCTCAGAGGATCATATTACAAAGATATCTTTCCTTCATACGCAATAAGTTAACTGCAGCACAAGTACATTTTCTTTAAATATGCCATGTCACTAGTTTTTGTTCTATAGTTTCATTTTTCTTATATTAAAGATTAAATTCAGTAAATAAATATCACAGGTAACATTGTTCAATTATGGAGACTACAGCTTAGAAATGTTAAGAATCACATATTCCATAATATTTTTTCATGGCCTCTGGACAAAATCTAATCACCTAAATTGGTGTTTATATAGTTATTATTACTTATAAATATATCTAATATCATAATTACGATATTTTGTAAGGTCTAATTCATCTTGTGCCACTATCGCCCCCATTTTGTTATGCCACCCCCAAACAAAGAGATTTGCCATGTTGTTATACCCTCCCCCCCAAAAAAAAATGTATATATATTTTGGGGATAACAACATGGCACATCTCTGTGGCACATATATATGCTGTTATCCCCAAAATATATATTATGAGAGAACATGTGACTCTGTGTGTGTGTGTGTGTGTGTGTGTGTGTGTGTTTGAGACTGTGATTGTTTCAGTGTTGCTGTGTACATTTGACTGTAATTGTGGGTGTGTATATATGATTGTGTGATTGCATGTCTATGTATGTAAACAACTGTGTGTATATGTCTGTGTGTGTCTCTGTATGTATAAATGATAATTATATATGTATGTGCATGGAGCATGTTGTCTGGCAGCAGAACAAGAATTCTCACCACCTTGCCGTTCTCTTTCTTAACTCTTTCTTCCCGGCTACTGAACAAAAGGGGGCTGCGCTTCTCCTTTCCTCTTGCCCCACCACTTGCCCGCTCAATCCTGTCGCATCTCACCTTATCAGATCTCTCTCCCCCTGTCTTGTGGCTTCCTTAACACACATCTTCAACTGCTCTCTCTCTCTTCTGGTGTTGTCCTTGCTGACCTTAATCATGCCACTGTAATACCTATCCTGACCTCTTGACCCATCCTCCCCCTCTAACTATTGTCCCATATCCCTGCTGCCTTTTTCTTCAAAGCTTCTGGAAAGACTTGTCTTTACCTGTATGTCTCACTTCCTCAATTCCAACTCTCTGCTTGGCCCTCTTCAATCTGGCTTCTGCCCTCTTCACTCTACTGAGACTGCACTTATCAAAGTTACTTACCGCAGCTAAATCTAAAGGCCACTATTCAATACTAATTCTTTTTGACCTCTCTACTGCCTTTGACAACATTGATCAAGCTCTCCTTCTTCAAACTCTTCAATTACTCGGTCTCTGTGACTTTGTCCTCTTGTGGTTTTCCTCTTATCTCTCCCAATGCGCATACAGTGTCTCCTTTTCTAATGATACCTCCTCCCCTCGTCCTGTCTCTGTTGGAGTCCCCCAAGGCTCTGTCCTTGGTCCCCTTCTATTTTCTCTTTATACTGCCTCTCTTGGCAAACGTATTACCTTATTTGGATTCCACTACCACCTGTACGCTGATGACACCCAGATATATCTCTCCTCCCCGGGCCTCTCCCCTGCTGTCCTGCAACGTGTCACTGCTTGCCTTTCTTCCATCTCTGACTGGATGTCCTCCCACTTTCTGAAACTCAATCTCCCACTTTCTGAAACTCAATCTCTCTTAAACTGAACTCCTTGTCTTTCCTCCTCCTAATACTGATTCTCCTCTTTCGCTCTCCCTTCAGGTTAGTGGTATCCACATCAATCCATCCTTGCAAGTGCGCTGTCTTATCATCATGCTTGATTCTGGCCTCCACTTTGAGCTTCACATCCAGTATGTTGCCAAATCCTGTAGATTCCACCTTAAAAACATAGCCCGCATCCACCCCTTTCTTACACAAGATGCTACTGAGGAGCTTGTCCATGATCTAGTAATTTCCTGCATTGATTATTGTAACCCTCTCCTAATTGGTCTTCCCAAAAGGTGTATTGAGCCACTACAGTCTGTAATGAATGCTGCCGCCAGATTGATTTTCCTCTCTAGTCAGTCCTCTCACACCTCACCCCTCTGCCATTCCTTACATTGGCTTCCTGTATCCTATAGAGTTAATTCAAAGTGCTAACCCATACCTATAAAGCACTGAACAATTCTAGCCCCTCTTATATCTCTTCACAGATACATAGGTATGCCCCTTCTCGGTTTCTCCGCTCTGCCCGTGACCTTCTTCTGTCCGCTGCTCGCACCCGTACTGCCAACTCACGCTTGGAGAAGTTCTAGCGGGCGGCTCCCTTCCTATGGAATAGCCTGCCTACCACCATCAGCCTCTCACCTAGTCTTTAATCATTTAAGAGGTGCCTTGAAACCCATCTCTTTAGGAAAGCTTATAGCCTCCGAGAGTAACCTCTACCTCACATACCTGTCTCTTGCTCTCCTAAAGGGCATCACTTTACTCTCTCCTCCAGCTCTGATTCACTCCCACCTTATTTGATTGCTATCTCCGGACCTTATGTGTTTTATACCCTACCTCCTATAGACTGTAAGCTTGTTTCAACCTATTGTTCCTGTAAGTTTTCTTGTAATCGTCCTATTTATAGTTAAATCCCCCCTCTCATAATATTGTAAAGCGCTACGGAATCTGTTGGTGCTATATAAATGTCAATAATAAAAATAAATAATAATAATAATAATAACTCCAGTTGTAGCAATACCACGCAGTTGTGATTGCAATAACCTGCCTCTTTCAAAAAAGCTCATGACAGAATCCATGCATGTCATTTGGGGGACAGCTCCTTAAAAACAACAAATCAGAGTTGGAATGAGGCAAAAAGTTGCACCGTAAAAGTACCATAACCTGTGCACTAAGCATTTGTAGTTATTGTGCTTTGATTGTCCCTTAACATTTGTAGTTACAAAGAATGCAGACATACCTTCTCTGCACTCTCATGTGTTTGCCCTTTAAACTAACAAACGCAATACATAGAACTGCCGTGAATAATCTCTCGTTTTCAGAATGTTTCCCAGAAAACATACCAAAAGGCAATGTTATATAAAACGGAAATTTGCAGTCATCAGTCCTAAAAAAATTAATTTTTATTCCATGTCTGTGAACTTTATACAAACTATTTTCAAAAAATGAAATAAATGACTCATCTCCAATATCAAAGGTTCAGGGCAAAAATAAAAGTAGCACATTTTGATGCATATTAAAACTATAACCATACTAAAAGATAACTAATTTGAAAAGGATATGCCTTTTATTCAGAGCCAAACATACTTAGTGATCATGGCAACAGAGGGATAGGCATGGCACAAATATGAGGAAGTAAAATAATAGAAATATTAAGCAAATAAAGTTGAATTCCTTGGCAGACTTTTCTCAGGAGCTAGAATACATGAAATAGAGTTACATATGATTTATTCATAGTTTTTATTATGGAAGAAAATAGCAATGTACATTCAAGAATTTTTACCGCCCTTAAGCAAATTGATCCCTTTTCCATGCTTTAGCAAAATCAATGTTATATATATTCCAAGCTGGCAAATATAATAAAATGAATAAAGATTTTCCTGCCCTATAAAAACATAATAAAGGATAAAGCTTTTCGGTTCTTTTCAATAATCTGTGACATGACTATATAATATCCATTAAATAAATATAGCAGATTTTTCATTTGCTGATTATTATATTTTTAATGTAGAAATGTAAACTGTTTAAGGAGTCTAACTTCAAAACGGAGTCTTTCACTATTATTTTGAGATAACCAACTTGACCTATTTAGTTTACAAAATTTGGGAGAAAATAATAGGGAAGAATATAAAGTAAAATAAAGTTGGTGTTGCCTCCAGTACTGTAGCCATTGGTATTTACTTGCAAAAACCCTTTTAAAGGACAACTATCACCAAATGTTACCTTATTTTATTCTTTTTTTAATGATGTGTCTTTTTTTTGTAAAAAAAATGATTTACATTTTTTTTATTTAGTTGAGCAGCTATGTTGGGTCAGATTCTACTGTTATCTGACCAGCTGCTGATAAGAAAAGTTGGTTTACCAAGTCCATTACTTTTGCAAGGTAGAAAATTGTACCTTAAAGGACCACTATAGGCACCCAGACCACTTCAGCTTTTATGAAGTGGTCTGGGTGCCAGGTCTCAAGAATAGGTTTAAGTGGTTCAATTTCTGGTCTGGGTAAACAAAGCAGTGTCAGAGAAACTGTTATGTTTACTTTAGGGTTAATCCAGCCTCTAGTGGCTATCTAATTCAGTGTTTCCCAACCCAGTCCTCAAGGCACACCTACCAGTCCAGGATTTAGGGATTACCCAGTTGTGTCTAAGGTGTTTTTACAAAGAAGAAAAAAAACACCTTAGACACAACTGAGTAATCCCTAAATCCTGGACTGGTAGGTGTGCCTTGAGGACTGGGTTGGGAAACACTGGTCTAATTGACAGCCGCTAGAGTCACTTCTGTGCTTCTCACTGTGATTTTTCACAGTGAGAAGACGCCAGCGTCCATAGGAAAGCATTGAGAATGCTTTCCTATGAGACTAAAAACAGAACAAAGAGTAAGCGCAAGCTAATATGGGGGCAGCAACCCTATAAGGGAATCCCTCAAGAACCCTTAAGAATAACACAGAGAGAAACAGAATAAAAAATAAGGGCTGCGCCAATACACAAATAAAAATAGCAAATAGTCCAAATAAATAGCTGTAGTAAAACAAAAAAATCTTATCTAAAATATGCTCTTTGAGGTCATGGGATCTATCCGTGCTTGATCCGGAGCAATTGTCCTTTATATGTTCATCCGTGAGAATCCACTCATATATAGAAGAAAAAAAAAAGGTGGAGAGCCAATAGTGTAAAATGTTTAAAACAATAAAAATGAATAAAATGGGAGGAATAAAACTCACATTTGAAAGAGCTAAACTTGCTCTAGTATAGAAGGCGTACAGCGGTTTGATCCCCGCTTATGGGATATAGGGTGGATTTCCTCCGTCAGTGGTGTATCCGACACTCGGGTAGAAAGAAACAACCAATAGTGTACACTGGATAAAATGTTGATAATAAAATAGAATTAAAAATGGGTACTCACAAGGCGGGAGCAGAACGACTGCTCCTTGACGTAGCGCTGGTGGTATAATCCCCACCTAGGATTTCTTGGAGTCCGGGATGTTGAGAGAATGCCAGGTGATAAGTAAATATAGAGTGTATAAAAGGATAAGTGGCACAGATAAAAAGTAACCAAATATACTTTAATATATATAAAATACACAATTAAAAGTCCATAAACGCGTTTCGCCATATTGATAACGCCATTGTTGGCGAAACGCGTTTATGGACTTTTAATTGTGTATTTTATATATATTAAAGTATATTTGGTTACTTTTTATCTGTGCCACTTATCCTTTTATACACTCTATATTTACTTATCACCTGGCATTCTCTCAACATCCCGGACTCCAAGAAATCCTAGGTGGGGATTATACCACCAGCACTACGTCAAGGAGCAGTCGTTCTGCTCCCGCCTTGTGAGTACCCATTTTTAATTCTATTTTATTATCAACATTTTATCCAGTGTACACTATTGGTTGTTTCTTTCTACCCGAGTGTCGGATACACCACTGACGGAGGAAATCCACCCTATATCCCATAAGCGGGGATCAAACCGCTGTACGCCTTCTATACTAGAGCAAGTTTAGCTCTTTCAAATGTGAGTTTTATTCCTCCCATTTTATTCATTTTTATTGTTTTAAACATTTTACACTATTGGCTCTCCACCTTTTTTTTTCTTCTATATATGAGTGGATTCTCACGGATGAACATATAAAGGACAATTGCTCCGGATCAAGCACGGATAGATCCCATGACCTCAAAGAGCATATTTTAGATAAGATTTTTTTGTTTTACTACAGCTATTTATTTGGACTATTTGCTATTTTTATTTGTGTATTGGCGCAGCCCTTATTTTTTATTCTGTTTCCTATGAGACTGGCTGAATGTGCGCGCAGCTCTTGACGGGGAAAGGAGGAGGAGAATCTCCAGCACCGAGGGAGCCCGGCGCTGGAGAAAGGTAAGTGTTTAACCCTTTCCTCCCCAACCAGCCCAGCGGGAGTGGGACCCTGAGGGTGGGGACACCCTCAGGGCACTATAGTGCCAGGAAAACGAGTATGTTTTCCTGGCACTATAGTGGTCCTTTAATGGAATCTTGGTATGCACAAAGCTTAAGCAGCTGAAAGATCAAAAGTAAGAAAAGCCCTTTTAAATGTTGGTCTTTCAGCTGTGTTTAAGACACTGCACTCCCTAAATGCACCTCTAAGTCAAGTAGTAGAATAATAATTATCATATAACTTTTTATTTTATTATTATTAATTTATTTTGTAATATTTTTAACTTTTTATATATATTTTTTTTAAATGTAAGTTTTTTAAAGTATATTTATAAATACATATATATATATATATTTATATATATTTATAACATAATTTAACTATTTTTAATTCTTTTATTTTTTTGTTTTGAAAAGTTTTATATATTTTGAGCTTCGATTTTCAGAACTCTTGCAGAGATTATATGAGTGAAAAGTGAGTTAGGGTAGTAATCATTCTTAAGGGTGAGAGAGGCTTTACGGACTATATTTCAATCTGCATAGGATAAAAAGAAAAAGTTCTTCCGCAGGTAAGAAGCAGTAAGGAGATCCAAGATACCACTGTGCTGATATCCTTTTGGGGATTTAACTTGCTCAACCTATTTTGTCCGCAACGACTTCTTCAGGAATACATGTTTACTCTTCCATGTCCGATGTTTAAATAAGCCGGTTGATGTCTCTTCTGTGCGTCTTACCTGCGGAGTAAATTTTTCTGGTATTCAGAGGTACAGACTGCAAGCTGGTATTACTGGGGACTTAGCCTAATTGTAGGCAGAAAACACTTTTGCACAATGAATGTTTTTAATTGTTCCAATATTGTTGTGAGTGTTCCTTGTATTGGCTTTTACCCACTATTGTAATTAAAGTTTGCACTACGATTCTCTTTATGTTTTTCTCTTTCATGGGAGGTTGCATTTTCCTCTCCAAGGTGGTAACTATAATCTGCCTCACGTTTGTGATTGTGGCACCCTTCACTGTATTTTAACTTTGGGTTATGTACAGTTTTTTTTTTTTTTAAAGTGAAATTATTTCAAAATTGACCCTTTTTTAAATTTGTGAATATTCACTCAAAAGATTATTCTTTGAAATGTACAAATCCATCAGTGTGAACAGTAAGATAGTGACCCCTGGAAGTCCTGCAGGTAAGTGATCACATACAAAAGAAGAGACCTGTATCAACCAAGAGAGAGCTTCAGGCTCCTTTAATTCCCACATAAATTGAGTATAGATTAAATTCTCTCTAATTCACCTATAGACAGTCAGAAACCTAGTAATTGTTCATTAACCCTTTACTCTTCTAATATGTTTAAGGGAATAGGGCAACCATTTAGGATTTCAGATTATAAATCCATAGTACATCCTTAATTCTTAAAACCACCAGCAGACACATTGAGAATGAAAGAAGAAATTATTACAATATTTTGAGAGGGGGGATGTAACAATAAATAGGACAATTACAAGAAAACTTACAGGAACAATAGGTTGAAGAGGACCCTGCTCAAACGAGCTTACAGACTATAGGAGGTGGGGTATTAGAAACATTAGGACATGAAATATCAAGTAGGAGTGAAGCAGAGCTGGAGGAGAGAGCAAAGCACTGTCCCATAGGAGAGAGCAGGAGACAGGTATGTAAGGTAGAGATTACTCTGGGAGGCCATAAGCTTTCCTGAAGAGATGGGTTTTAAGGCCCTTCTTAAATGATTGAAGACTAGGGGAGAGTCTAATGGCAGTAGGCAAGCTATTCCATAGGAGAGGAGCTGCCCGCGAGAGGTCCTGCAAGCGCGAGTTGGCCGTACGGGTGCGAGCAGCGGTCAGGAGGTGGTCACGGGCAGAGCGGAGGGTACGAGGAGGGGCATATCTATGGATTAGTGAAGAGATATAAGTGGGGCTAGAATTGTTCAGTGCTTTAAATGTATGGGTTAGCACTTTGAATTGACTCCTATAGCATACAGGGAGCCAATGGAAGGACTGGCAGAGGGGTGAGGTGTGAGAGGACCGACTAGAGAGGAAAATCAGTCTAGCTGCAGCATTCCTTACAGACTGTAGCGGGGCAATACGGCTTTTGGGGAGACCAATCAGGAGAGGGTTACAGTAATCCATGCGGGAAATTACTAGAGCATGGACAAGCTCCTTGGTAGCATCTTGCGTAAGAAAGGGGCGAATGCGGGCTATGTTTTTGAGTTGGAACCTACAGGACTTGGCAACAAACTGGATGTGAGACTCAAAGTTGAGACCAGAGTCAAGTATGACGCCAAGACAGCGCGCTTGCAGGGATGGACTTATGTGGATATCACTGACTTGAAGGGAGAGCAAGAGAGGAGGATCAGTATTAGGAGGAGGAAAGACAAGGAGTTCATCTAAACTTAGGCATGTCTGGTTTGTGAGTATTTCATTTGTACTGACGAAATTATTAAAACCGTATTTAGGGATAAATATCCAGGAATATATTTTGGTCAATATTATTTTATGAAGAACTAATCATGTCAAATTAAATTGCACTCTATAGAATGGCAACTCGAATATAAATCAGAATTTTTCAGTGCGTATTATCCAAAGATGTATAGAAAAAAAGGGGACGATCTGCTAAACAAATAACAAGAACAGTGCATAGCGCATAACTGTGTATATGAATAAACCAAATGTGTAGTTTTCAAATGGCCACTCACACTTTCGTTGAAATATAAATGCCTTGGAACTGAATTGCTCTTTTCAGCAAAATTGCTCTTTTCAGCATAAATGCCCTTCCAGGAATGATTCTTCCACCACTTTTAAACTCTCATGGAATAGTTAAAAGGTGTGTGCTCAAAGAAAAAAAAGAACTTGTAGTACATATTTAAAAATGTAGAAAAAATAATTTAATCACTTACATCTAAATATAAAACAATGGATGTATTCTCACTGTCACCACCAGGGAACCTGATACTGTGATACACAGAATATTACTGTACAAATTGAAAGAGATAGGTTTATAACATCATGTTGTGCTGTGATTGAAAACTATCTTAAGAATTGACTGCAAGGAGTTGTTAGGTTTCCCTCTTAACCAGCTGATATATGCTTTCACTGGTGAAATGGGAAAAAAAAGTCGAGAGAACCAAACATCAAAAGCAATATTTGCTTTAGTGCTCAGTAACTTAAAAAGACAGGCTTTTATTCTGCCTATTCAAAAGGAATAGCACCTTGATTTGGTGCAAGATATCCAGGAGCTGTTTTGCCCAAAGATGGCTATTGTGTATATAATTGTACCAGATATGTTACGGAAAAAGGTCCAAATATTTAGAGTCTGTATATATTGTAAAATGCCGGTATACGTAAATTGTGATTTATTGATAACATGCCAGATATGTATATAAGTCATAGCTCGGCATCCAGCCTCCGTCACGTCTCTGATGAAGTCGGGCTGACACCCACGAAACGCGTTAGACAGACAGTTAGCAGTGAGCAGGATACGAAGCACAGTTGAACCGGCAGAAGGAACTCTTCTCTTCCAACGAGAAAGAACTGTCAATCAGGGGACCGACTGGCGGACAACACCTACCACCCAGAGTGAGGTCTGGGACGCATGCCAACCCCATCGGCAGCCGGCAAGTACAGAGACTTATTTCTGATACATAATATCCATATCCATCCTAGCCGGTTTTTATGATTGTTTAAGGAACAAGACTACCCTCCTGCTGGCAATTTTCTTGCAAACCGTTCCTGAATCGTATTTTTACAGTATTTTTATAATCTTTTATATATTTTTATACTTTGGAATTGTAATAAATTTTCTACTATAACTTCTAATCATTTCCACTTTTTAGTGTTTTTTTCTAATTCTGAATTTTTGTAATTCTCATTATACTTTAAAATAGTACCAAGTTTTGGTTTGTACAATTATAAGATACACTCTTGGGGCACTATTTAGTCAGTCTGCCCGTAGCAGATTTAAAGAGACACTCACCTGGAACAATTGTGTCATTACACTGTTGTGTGACACTAAACCAAATATAAAATAGAAAACAGCTATCTATGCTGCTATTCTATACTATATAGTCACTTATGTGAAGTAGAGCATTTGGTGTATACCGTATTGAATCTGCCTATAACAGATTTAAAGTTGTACACCCCATACATGTTTTTTCCGTAACATATCTGGTACAATTATATACACAATAGCCATCTTTGGGCAAAACAGCTCCTGGATATCTTGCATCAAATCAAGGTGCTATTCCTTTTGAATTACATTTGTCCGGACAGGTACTTGGTGAATTCCTGTCTTTGTCCAGTTTTTGAGCGACCCATCACAAGTCAGACTCCCTCAGCTCTGTGTGTTGCATTAGGCATACCTGATTTTTATATTTTTATTCTGCCTAGCATAACATAAATTGTTACAACCATGGGACAGCCAAGGATATCTGATATTATTACCCTTGGCTTCCCAAATGGTTCCCCTCTTTGAGCCCTGTCTGGATTCAATATTCCTGTCCAGATTACTGAGCACATTGTGGCAAAACTAGCCACTTAATAGTATTCAAGACTGAGTTGGTTCGACTATTTGGGGTTCCCGAACAGAATAAAGACATAATGTTCGTCAGTTGAACCATCTACCGAATAGTAAGACCACCCAGGGGAGTCGTGTGCCTCCAATTGACTATGTTCACACCGAGAAACTGCAAGATTCTAAATGGTCGGATGGGTGGCCATCATTCATATGACTGAACACGTGGTGGCGGCCATCTTTGTTCATGAACAGACAGCAGTGTTTGGTCTTTGAACGCATGGAACTATAATTGGACACTCGACGGCGCGAACACTGCTGAACTTCCATCCTCCTGTATGATCATTCCCATTCACCTAAACAGAGCGGCATTCGAATGAACGAAACGAACGACCACAAGGCACACGACCTCCTATTACATGAACATTTGCATTCGTTATTTTAATGGTAAAAACTCCCGAAAAAAGACCGGTCAAAGCATACAACCACCTGGAACTATTTTGGGGCTTCTCCTTGTGGTTGACCGGTCTAAACTTCACTCAAATGGCGTTCCTATTCTACCAAACAGATCTAAGCGCTTTTTTGACAGAGTGGGCGTTCAGATCCCTGCTATTCAGTGAAATTCGTGGAGTTTTGACTAATATTATATGAGTTATTATGGTTTGAAATATTGTTTATTGTTCTGTACTTGGGAGATAATCTAATTAAAGAATTGTCCTTACTCAATTATCTTCCAAGTACAGAGAAGGAGTCTGGGAAATGTGACTTTGTTCCCTGTCCCCAACAAGAAGCCCCTTGCATAGGGAATTGTATAAAAGCCAGCAGTGGCTCAATAAAAACCAGCTGACTCCCAAAGCTGTGTATCATCCGCTTATTGGGGAATTTGGATAGGATTCTCTTGGATTTTGTACAAATCTACCAGCAGAGATATTGATGTGAATATTGCAGCTCCGCTACACACACATATTTTTATATTTGACTATCATATAACAATCATTGTTATACAGTGTATTTTAATTAATTTTGGTTGTATATCTTATATATCATTTTAACTGATGGTTTCTTAAAGAGATCGTGCTAGGTCAGAAAACTCTGTGCCTCATCAATTAAAGTACTTCTACAACTGTTATTTTTTATATTTAATTTTACATCTTTTTTATTTTAAAATGTTATTTTATTTTATTTTTTAATTTTTTAACAGCTTATTTCTTTGAATATACAAATAATTGTCTTTACGCCACATGTGTACAGTTTTTATTATATATTAATGAATAAGAATGTTCATGTTTTGATTGTTACATATTGTAAAATATCTTGGTGACCATGAAATATACATTTATTTTTTTTATTATTCTTTATTTTGTTTGTGCAGATAAACATGGAGTGTGCATTGCCACCACAGCTGGTGTGAACATATTTGCAATCACATGTGTGTACATGGCATCAAAGACATTGCACATTTTTTATGTATAGAGAGATAAACAAGAGTATAACGTAGGCTTCAAAATAAATGCACAGAATCAGATGTGTGTCACGCTTAGTAGCTTAGTCTGCGTGGCTAGTTCGTAAGCTATAGAGTGGACTTAACTATAAGTTCAGAGAGCTGTACTAAGTCCGCAAAAAAGGAAAGAGACATCGCTTCAAATGTGGTCTTTGACCACTACCAGGGTTGCAGTTTTATCCTTCTTATGTTGTAAACAAATTATGAGATCATGGGGGGCCGCCGTTGGGGCTCTGGCTTGCTTTGGGACTCTGAAGATGCCATCTAAGCTTATGGCCTTGGCCTGCCACAGCGTTAACAGTGCTGTCAGGAGCCTTCGCGCGAAGTGCGGTAGTTAAGCTGCCAGCATATCATCAGGTACTCCCTGTATTTTTAGGTTGTTCACCCGCTGTGTGTCCTCCAGTGAGGCGCTCTGCAAATCCTTGATCTCCTGTTGCATGGAGGTAATGTAGGCAGCATTTGCAGCGGAGGTGTCCTCCAGGGCGCCCAGCCTCCCTGTTATTCCTTGGATGTCCATGTGGAGGTTAGCCATGTCCACCTGGATTGTGGATTTGAGGTCCGCCAATAGTGCTTTGAGCACCGACATAGTGACAGGTGCAGTATCAGGGGTCCAGGGGTTTGGCTGTGGCTACTGACAAACTGGGTGAGCCGGCTGTTTCCTCTCCCAGGGAGAAGTCATCCGATAGTTCAGAGTATGTCTCTGGGTGGTCGGCCATCTTGGGCTTAGTTGCTCCGTGAGCTTACCTCCACATGGCTCCGATATCGAAGCCTTGTCTCGGCTGATCGTGTTTCTGCTTTTTGGTCTTCCGACCCATGCTGGTTCATCAACTTCTGCCCAGTGTTTGCAGCTGTTTTGGACAGTTTTTTCGGCCGGATTAGGGTGATAAATAGTTGAAATCGCAGGAGCTCCGGTGCCATGCGACTTCTCTGCTCTACAGCTAGGCTCCGCCCCATTTTTGTTTTTTTATTTAGTTTTTCCCTTTTTTTCTGGTTGTTTTCTTTTCTTTTTTTCTTGGTTGCACTTTTTTTCTTATAGACTGTTTGATAATACAGAGTAAAGTGTTTGTTTTTTTTTAAGTTAAATTTGATGTTTGATGTCAGGGTAGCTCACTTATACACTATAGCTACACATTCTACACTATAGTAGGACCACAATTCTTATTAATTGATTAATTTTACCATCAATGTAAACAAGATTCTCCAGCTCACTCTACTTTAGCCTATCCATACTCTATATTTTGACATTTTATGTTTAGGTACTAGAATACTAATTGGACAAATTATATGTACAATTAATATTCCAGGTACTCCACGTTGGTTCATGTGCTATTTGAACATTGCAGCCGACCTTAGCTGAATTGTGTTTTCCTTATCTTGTGCTACTCTATGATCAGGTGTGTAACAGGGAACTGCTGGATCCCAGAGCATAAAAGCAAACACACACACTCCCACAATGAGGGAAGCCTATTTTTTTTTTATAAAATTTTTTTTTTACCACCTTCTGACCAGTGTTAATTTTGTCCACTAACAATTTTAGTCATATTTTAGTCGACTAAAATGTTTGAGAGTCAGCCGACTAAAACTAGACTAAAACTAAAACAATTCAGATGACTAAAATACGACTAAAACTAAAATGGCATTTTAGTCAAAAGACTATAATTAAAACTAAATTAAAATTAGCCACCAATATTAACACTGCACAAAGGGGCTGTGGAATGGGCAAAAGAGACAGACCAGGGCTTGGGAGAGAGACACCTAGAGGGGCTGGGAGGACACAAAGAGACATAGAGGGGCTGGGGAAGGAGCAAAAGAGACAGATGCTTTAACTAAACCAATTAAATTTAGTCGACTAAAACTATAGACTAAAACTAAAACAATTCAGATGACTAAAATACGACTAAAACTAAAATGGCTTTTTAGTCAAAAGACTATGACTAAAACTTAATTGAAATTTGTTGCCAAATTTAACACTGCTTCCAACCTTATCCCTGGTGGTTCAGTGAAGGTATGATACATGGGTGATGCTGGACACATCCGTGAGGGAGATTGTTTTCACACACTCTCCCTGTCTGGCACTCATTGATTGAGTCAAAGCGTTGCCACGGTAATGTGGCAGCAGCACTCTGGGATCATGAAGGTGCGCTTACACCAAGTATTCCTTTGTAAATTTTAAAAACAGTTATTTAAGAGCTATTGCCAGAATGACAATATATTAAATATTATTTTAAAATGGAGGCACCTAATTGAAATGGGCCCTTTTTGACAGGAGGGACTGCAGTACCCAGTTGCAGAAGTGACCATAACAACCCTGGTAGTTCTGCCAGTGTGTACGATACATTTATTATCCTATCACAATTGCCCTACCTAGCAGTTATTAGTATGGAAATATGCCCCATATTAACTCATATAGCAATGTTTTTAATATGTTGATATATTTTATCTATTGTGCTTCAATCAAATAATAATATTTTAAGAGCAATCTAATTTTGCGCTGTCATTATTTTATATTTTCATATTTTCTGTATTGTAGTTAGTCACCTATAACATTCTTGGGAAGAATTCAATCTATTTTATTTTGATATCACTTTATATCCAACATCCGTATCTCCCCTAGACTTTCTGATGGAAGACCAATACTTGCCTATGAATTATCATTGGCTGCTAAAGGTAAAGCATGTACACATGTTGCATAGTTACATAGTTACATAGCTGAAAAGAGACTTGCATCCATCAAGTTCAGCCTTTCATCACATTTGTTTTTGGCTGTTGATCCAAAAGAAGGCAAAAAAAAACCAGTTTGAAGCACTTCCAATTTTGCAACAAGCTAGGAAAAAAATTCCTTCTTGACCCCAGAATGGCAGTCAGATTTATCCTTGGATCAAGCAGTTATTACCCTACATTGAAAGATTATATCCTTGAATATTCTGTTTTTGCAAGTATGCATCTTGTAGCTGTTTGAACATCTGTATGGACTCTGATAAAACCACTTCTTCAGGCAGAGAATTCCACATCCTTATTGTTCTTACAGTAAAAAAAATTTTCCTTTGCCTTAGACTAAATCTTCTTTCTTCCAGTCTAAACGCATGACCTTGTGTCCTATGTAAAGTCCGGTTTGTAAATAGATTTCCACACAATGGTTTGTATTGGCCCCAAATATATTTGTATAATGTTATCATATCCCCTTTCAGGTGACGTTTTTCTAAGCTAAATAGGTTTAAATTTGTTAACCTTTCTTCATAGCAGATATGTTCCATTCCTTTTATTAATTTTGTAGCTCGCCTCTGCACTTTTTCTAGTGCCATAATATCCTTCTTTAGAACAGGTGCCCAAGATTGCAAAGCATATTTAATATGTGGTCTTACCAATGATTTATAAAGAGGCAAAATGATGTTCTCATCCCGAGAATGAATGCCCTTTTTCATGCATGACAATACATTACTGGCCTTAGCCACTGCTGATTGACATTGCACATTGTTGCATAGTTTGTTGTCTATATCAATTCCCAAGTCCTTTTCGTGTGTGGTTATCCCTAATTTGCTTCCATTAAAGGACCACTATAGGCACCCAGACCACTTCAGCTTAATGAAGTGGTCTGGGTGCCAGGTCCATCTTGGATTAAAGAAAAAATGGGGAGAAGTCATCACGTACAAAGACGAAGGATCCTCCTCAGAACACCACCCCTAAAGAAACGTATAAAGGCTTACAAAAAATAATAAACTTTATTGAAAATCCAAAATACACAAAATTACTAAATAATTAAAATAAAAAAAACAAAAGAACTAGGTACTGACAAGTAAATTGGCTGCCAATCACTGCCTGGTAAATTCTATGGTATTATAAATAGGTTTCTTACAGATGTAGCAATCCTGCTCAAAACTTAGTTATAAATAATAGAAACAATGTTGCAATATTAACTCACAGAAACCACAACTTACAGATAATCAGTAGGTGCCAAAAAGAGCAGTGTGCTGTGCTCCAATAAATAAACCAGAGGGCAAAAAAAAGGATAAAAAGTCCCCCATGATAAGCAAACCTTATCTAAATAATCTATAATAGGTATAAAGGGCCATACCATAAAACAGTAAGAAATCGAAAGGACAAAGAAGAGCATATAGAGAAAAACAAAGGGAGAAAAATAATCCCCAGGGGGGTCCAAAATAGAAACCAGACACCTCAACTAGAGATAGCCCTTATAGATATCCAAATGCCCCTACTAGCACAGAGACCGGCCAGCTAAGGTCTAATGAAAGCACAGCACAAACTGCATATACAGTACACTAGAAAAATAGTAAAATCAAAAGTAACAGAATCGGAAAAGCTTGACGCGCGTTTCGGCAGTCTTACTGCCTTTCTCAAGGGCCAACAAACCAGTCAAAAGATCCCCCCTCACATTAAATAACTCATAACCCCTCCCACCTACCAGTTGTGGGCCATCACTGCAGCGGAACAGCCAATAATATCTGCCTGTTAGTCCCCTAGTCTGGCGGGGAAAAGGGTACAGTCCATGCGCATGTCCGTGCCGAAATGTTGGCGCATGCACGGGGACTTAGTGCAACAATGTAGAAAAATACACAAGAAACATTGTATCCATACAACCCCAGTTTAGTGCATGCATGCGGAAACAACTAGCAGGATGTGTTCATGAAATTTCAAACACATGCGTGTAAACTTTATCTTCAGCAACATGTATAAAACAGAACACACCAAAATCCTGGTGTCTGTATATAAATATACCAAACAAACTGCTAAGTAACTAAATTGCCCTGCTTAAACAGAAAGGGTCCATCAGTGCAAGAAAAGCCTTAGAACCACCTTAGTGGATACAGACTAACAAAAATATCATCAAACGAATATAGATACATATATATAAGGCAGATATAAACAATGGCATAAATCAATAAAGCCATCAAAAGAAAATGGGTGGGAGGGGGCAGGGGGAGAAAATACAGAATTCCTGTTATGGTATTTAGATTCTCTGCAGATATATTATAGAAAAATAATAAAAAGTAAGCTACAAAAAACAAAAAGAGTGGTAAACCACAATAAACCAAAGCTGGCAAAATCAATCAACAAATGAATAAAAAGAAGAAAAATACATAGAGAGAGGGATACAGGTATATAAAAGAAAAAGGTATATAAAAGGACCTTCATACCAACGGTTAGATAAAAGGGGTGAAAGAAAAGCCCTCATTCAAACCCAGAGGTTGAAGTGTCATTAGTTCATATATCCACCTAGACTCCCTCTGTCTTAAGATTTTATCAAAATCTCCACGTCCCGGGTTCCTCCTCACCAATTCTAGTCCACAGAACCTGAGATTGTTAGGATCACTGTGATGGTGTTCTTTGAGATGTCTTGAAATAGGTGTCTCAAGACAATTCCTAGGGGACCTTACATGTTCCATGATCCTATCTTTAAAGGCCCTAAAGGTTTTACCCACATTTATCCACATGAACACGACAGCAGGTATTCAAGGCCCTTCGTATTACAGTTGACAAAATTCTTAATCTTAAAAGAGCCTTGTCCTGCACTGTCGCTAACAGTCTTAGATCCTTTAGAAATGTATTTACAGGCTACACATCTACCACAGCCATACGTGCCACACAGAGGGGTTCCCAACCAGGTGACATGCGGCTGTGGTTTAGTGGTAAAATGGCTCGGTACCAATAAATCTTGATTATTCCATCCACGTCTAGCCATGATATTAAGACCTCCTTAAGATGTACATCATTTAACAGGATGGGCCGGAATCTCTCAAGAGACTTACGTACTTCTGACCAACCTACATCAAATGTCGCAATCATGCGAATGGTTCCTGCCTCCCTATTTTCTTTCCTTACTGGGAGATCACACAGCAATTCACTCCTCTCAGTTTGGAGTGCTCTTATACACCTTCTTCAGGCAGCGATTCGGATAGCCTTTCTCCTTGAACTGTATCCAAAGCTGTTTTGCTTTCATTTTAAAATCATGAATGTCACTTCAATTTCTCCGAAGACGGAGGTACTGGCCCACCGGAACCTTAAGGGGTCTCGGGTGGCAACTCGTCCAGTGTAAAAGAGAATTGGTGGCCGTCGGTTTCCTAAACAGAGTGGATTGAAATGTACCATCTTCGTTAATTCTGATAGTCACATCTAGAAAATTAATGGAGCGTCCTCCAAATTCAGATGTAAACCGAAGATTTTCATCATTCTGGTTAAGTAATACCACCAGATCAAAAAATTCCTGGGAGGTGCCTTGCCAGACAATCAAGATGTCACCGATGTAGCGACCCCACCATAAGATCTTGGGTAAGTAGTCTGCCAGAACATCTGAGTTACGGATCTGATATTCCCACCATTCCAGGTAAAGGTTTGCATATGAGGGGGCCATAGCGGTACCCCTCACCTGGTGGTAAACTTTATTATTAAACAAAAAATATTTGTGCGACAAGATAAACTTGAGAAGGCGTAAGAGAAAGGCTGTGTGTAAATATTTATCCACATCCATTAGTACGATATTCCCCCCCTTATCAGCTGGTGTAATGATAATATCAGCATCATCCTGTAGTGTTTTTAAAGCACGTTGTTCCCTTCTAAGGAGGTTATCCATTAAATGGAGATTTAAGATTAATTTTTTTCAATTTCACTCTTGGCTGCTTCCATCTTGGATTAACCCTGCCTGCTGTAAACATAGCAGTTTCAGAGTGGCTGTCTCATTTAGAATGCTTTCCTATGGACTGGCTGAATGCGCGGCGGCTCTTGCCGATGACAACCGAAGGAGGAGAGGTGAGTGTTTAACCCCCTTTCTCCCCTTTCAGACCGGCGGGAGTGGGACCCTGAGGGTGGGGGCACCCTCAGGGCACTATAGTGCCAGGAAAACAAGTTTGTTTTCCTGGCACTATAGTGGTCTTTTAAGGGTATACATTGTTTGTTTATTCTTTACACCAAAGTGCTTAACTTTGCATTTTTCAACATTAAATTTCATCTGCCATTTGAGTGCCCAGTCCCCCAGTCTATCTAAATCCCTCTGCAGCAAAGTAATATCTTGCTCACATTGTATTATTTTACAAAGTTTTGTGTCATCTGCAAACACTGAAACATGACTTTCAATGCTGTCTTCAAGATCATTTATAAACATGAGGGACACCCTGAGGGACACCAGTTGCCACCTCTGTCCAGCTTGAAAATGTACCATTAATGACAACTCTTTCTACTCTATTTTTAAGCCAATGTTCTACCCAAGAACAAGCATTTTCATCTAGACCAATTTCCTTGAGTTTGAACACTAATCTATAGTGTGGAACTAATTCCTAGAAAATCACTTAAACCCTGCTATATGTATTAATTCTATTTACGCAGGTGTTAAATCCAAATTATTCTTCCAAATAATAACAAAAATGTCAATATACTAAATGGCCGTGGTCTGTATTCACAAATCATCACAAATCATCACCAATCTGATCAAAATCTAACAAAAGTTTTTTTTTTAAATACAGAAAGATATGGCTCACTTATTTGTCCATATAATGTTTGATGAGTTGTGGCATTGTGACCAATGCTGTGACATCCAATACAATGCATTGTTGAAGCCAATACCGTGACATCCAATACAATGCAACAATGATATACTCTTTTTTTAGGTCAATCATTATTTTATCGAGATATACTTGAAACAAAATTAGCAATTTACAATAGAAATAAAGCACATAAAATGCATTACGTATGTTTGAACTGTGGTAAAGAGATTAGTAATACTTAATGTTTTAATATTCTCAACAAACTCATACAAAACAAAAACATGAAATAATAGTCTGTAAGTGAATAGTATGACGAACTGTAGTGGAGAAAATGAGAGTTTGAAGTGATCTCTCTATCTCTGAAACAAAAAAATAAGTAAATAAGAATTGTTATAAAATATATCTTACTTTTAATTACTACCTCTTACAAACATCATCAATTATTGTTAAATCTAATAATAATTCATTTATTTTTCATTTTATCTACTATTTTATCCTTAAGTATGATTGTCTTGTGGTCCAATCTGAGTTATTCATCAGAACTATTTAAATCATGGACTCTTATTTTTCTCTACTTCTTTCAAAGTCTGCAACTGTTAGCTTAGGTTTGGTAGGAAAAGAAAATTAAAATCCCCACCCATGGAAAATGAAATCAATGATTTTACCCTTACTGTACCAAATTGTTTAATGTAATTAGTACAACCATTTTAGCCAATTACAGGTGTTTGTGATGTTTAAAACTTGAAGTAGTGCTGGTTATATAGATCATGTATATACAAGTAACTAAATACCATGTGTTGGATCTATAGATCAGCAAAGATCATATGTTTTTGTGCTTAGGAGCCGAGGGTAATACGTACACTGGTTCGGAGCAGTGCTCAGAGCTGAGCGTGATATGTACATTGACCAGAGCAGTGTTCAGGAGCTGAGGGTGATAGATAAACTTGTCGGGAGCAGTGATTGGGATATTTAGGGGAGCTTTACACTAGTAAGGAGGTGTGAGACAGGAAATCTGGGTGTTGGGTACTATGGTCAAATGCAGGGAATAATGAAAGAAGGTGGACGGTCAGATGAGCAAAACAGGAATTAAACTGAAATTAAGGAATTAAACAGAGATCAAGGACAGGTTTTTAACTATTAAAGGTAAAATATATATTTTTGTCAGTAGAGGACTTTTGGGTAGTTGTATTCCAGTAGTGGATAGCTTGGAGGGAAATATATTGGAAACAGGAAGGAACAATCAGAACTGAGACTTGGTATACACCTTATGGAATGGACATCCACCTAAATTAATGTACAGAAAATTAAACATTTGCTGAATTGCCCATTGTGAAAACATTATGACATTAAAAGAAAAATTAGAGAAAAAAAATCATATTGTTTTCCAGGAAAGTTATATTCTTTTATTAAATTATTTCAGTAATTAAATAATAGTAATAAAAAAGCAAGGTACTGGATATGTACAATTCCAATTTGTGTAGTTACCTGCCAACATTTATTTTATTAAAAATAATTTAAAGAACGCTCTCGATACTTTAAAGGACAACTTACACAAAGTAATAACTGAAGAATTTTGAATGAAGACAGGCTTAATGCCTTGAGGTTTATGATTAAATACATTGAGGCATGAAACTTGTCAGACTGGTGCCCTGCTTTTGAGAGTTTTCTTCCCTTGTGCTATCTGTTATAACATTAAAATGGCCTAAAATAGAATTCATTTTTGCTCATGCCTTCTGTGATTAGATTTTTCCTCTTGGCAGTGGAAGCTAACATCTCACAATATCAATGCCTTTCGTTATATCATGGCTTGTTTTGCTGAGAAATTTTTTCGTAGTCTAGTGTGTATGTTATTGAAAATATCAAATACTATTTTTATGTTTTATACATAGTTTCTTTCTTTCCTTTGGCTAAGTAACTTACAAATTTCTTTATTCTTTGGGATAGGTCATCAACTGAAGTTATGGAGCATGAAGAAAGACAAATTGTGGTTTGGACTGGTCAAGAGGAAAAAATTGTTTGCGGATTGACAAAGCGTACAACCTCTGCTGATGTAGTACAGGCTCTTCTTGACAGTCATAAAGCTACAGCATTGAATAGCTCTTTTATTTTGGGTGACAAGCACAGAGAATACTGTATTGTTGAGAAATGGAGAGGGTTTGAGCGTATTTTGCCTCCGTATACAAAAATATGGAAGCTTTGGAAAGCATGGGGAAAAGAGAAGGTAAACCTTACCTTTGTTCTTGTGAAAGCAGATACCTTTCTTGGAATTCCAATTTGGAGAATGTCTGAAGCCAAAGTAATCCCATCCTCAGAAAAAAATAATCTTGACTATTGTTCTACCCATTATGTAAAATCCTTACCATTTGATAAACAAAAAAGAATTGTGAAAAAGGCATTTCGAAAATTAGCCAAAATCAAAAAAGAGATTGATTTTACAGATGCAAATAATGCGGAGACACTTATTCACATAATTGTTTCTCAAGACAACACTATTAAACAGCAAATATGGAGAATACACGAAATAGATAAAGAAATTGAGGCATCTAAAGCAAATCTACATTTGATAAAGGTAGAGGACAGTGTTATGAATGATGTCCACAATAGTTATTTAAAAATATTTGATTCTAGTACTACGAATTGTAGTCCCAAAAAAGTGTTTCCCCTGGAGAAGAAAACAAAACACAAAGAACTGGAGCTAGACGAACAATTAATATACCATCAAAAGCTTATTGACAGACTCTCTGCTGAAATTGAAGAAGAGATATCATCTCTATGCAAGAAACAAAACGGTGATGGAATTATTTTCTCTGAAGAGGGTAGGCAGAAATTGGATGAATTTAACTTGGAAAGTGTGAAAGATGAACTCGAAGATAGTTTGCAAGTTGGTTTAAAATTACATACCATGTTTAACAGTGTTCAGAAAGATATTAAATATAATGACTCATTGCTTCTCAGGAAGCAGAAGGAGTACAAGCACTTAGAAGAAGACTTGAAATCATTATCTATTACGGTTGAAACCAGTCCTTTACATTTTACACCTTACCAAGCAGAAAGAGATTACATGGTTAATAGCAGTAAGACAAATGATTTTACCATGAAATTTTCAAGTTTGAAAACACATGATACTGACTCAGACACTGGCATAAGTTCCACTCATAGCCAAGATTGAGTGTGTTTTCTGATAAGTGATGCTATTTTGCACATTAGGATTTCTGGTTAAAATGTAGCAATAAATATTTTTACTGTAAGAAGATAATTATTACTAATATAATATAAAAATCTTCCCATCTAGATTTTTTTCTTATAATTTGAACACCATGCCTACTATAAAAAAAATAAAATAACAAGACATAAAAAAGCAATTTTCTTTACAGATTCATGTTCAGAGGTACATGAAAAATTAAAAAAAAAATAATTTAAGCTTTTTATTCAGTTTTAAGTTTTGATGTGTTCATTGATAATTTATGCAAATATTAAAGTAGAGAATGTGTTAAAAATAATATCAAAACCTCTATATATGTTTTGTTTTTAAGACCCCTAACACCTTTCATTGATAATATCTGTCACATTTACTTAGAACATAGTATTTACCATCATTACTGTGACCTTCTCTCTAGATTGGATTTCTTATATCTTTATAACAGTAATTTATTACTGCTATATGACTCAAACAAGAGAAGTGGAAGGATAGATAATGCATTTTCCAGGAGGCATGATGTAACCCATTTAAAATTAATACCAAAACAAAAACACAGTTTTATATGTTTTATTGATTACAATTTTTGGTTCTTTACAGGTTCCTTTTTAACTAATTTTAAGAAATCTGTATTTATGACTGCCCATGCCAGAAAAGATTGCACACAGTTATTATGTGTGTATCTACATCTTAATGTAAACTATATTTTAATGAGGAGTGAACTCATGGTTCATAATTTACACAGTCAAATATTTCAAAACGTTTTACATAGTTTGTTTCATATATAATAATGTTTTACATAACAAGAGAGTCCAATTTCACAAGGTCTTTTGCAAGTGACAATTTTTGTTGAATGCTAATTGGTTTTGTTGCTTTTTTTTATATTTCAAGATTTGTATATTTATAGAAGAAATGCTGTAATAACTAGCTATAACCTATTCGGCAAAGCCTCTAATGTAATATTTGAGATGGTTGTAATTTTTTCCATTTTTACTTTTCTTTATTTTATATTTATTAAGATTCAACAAAGATACTAAACAATGCTATGATTGCAGTGTAAAAAACATGGTTACATATATCTGGTCTTTCAAACTCTGTCTCAATGTTAACCAAAGTTTAGATCTAAATCAGTTATGACTCATCAGGAGAACTGACAATGGATCTGGTCATTGGCAATGAACGTGAACGGTCAGGGAGTGGCAGAATAAGACCACTTGGAAGGGAAGCAGAAATGCCTTTGGGTGGACAATAATATGTATTCATTTACTCCACCATAAATTTTGTAAGTATAATTTTTGCTGCAACATGACTTTCAATTCCTCTAGCTCTCGAATCTCATTGACACTGGATACCTGACTTGACATTGTTGGTGGGAAGGGTTGTTTCTGCATAATAGGAATCAATGACTTAACAGACATAAGTAAGGGCAAATAACATTTTTTCAATTTTTGTAGAAGGATATTAATGTGAAATAAATGTATCTAGAACCTAGTTATATGGTGAATTTCATGAATCACTACCTTCCAATAAAAAGCTAGAAGTGGGCAGCATTACCATATATTACGAATATAACCTGTTTCTTGGCTTATCACCAGCAAATAGGGGAAATGCTGTGGTCAGTTGCATGAAGACTGTGGTGTATAATACCATGTAGATAGAAATGTGTTGTTAAATTTCCTATATCTACTGTTACTTTATAAATAACTTACAACACAGCAGAGATGCCTGCTAGGGGTTCCACAGTAACACAGTAACAATATCTTCCTCCACTGTGACAGAGTGAGAGAATTATTGATGTCTGATTTGTATTTATGTACGAAAGATGAAAGGGACAAGAAATCCGTAGAGATCAAAAGGCGGGGAAAAAATGAAGTGGGAAGGTTGATGTAGTACAGAGAGTTTCAAACTTTTAATGGATGGCATTGCGAGTGTAATGGTTGGTCAAAGCGATTATACAATGGTTCATATGCATGTACTGAAACTGATCAAGCATAGTCAGAGGTGAGAGTGTCAAAAGAAATTGGAGTACCCTTTTGGGGTTGACATTCATTTAATACATTTATTCAACGGAAGTGTTAATTATTATTGAAATGTTTTTGGTTTTAGTGTTTTGCCCCTCTGTAATCTTTATTCTGTTTTATTTCATATTAAAACTACACATTGGTTAAAAAAATGCATTTAAATACTTTAAATAAAGTTTTGACTAAGTTGTACAGTTAAACTATATGTAATAAAATATTTTTCGCAGTACATGAGCCAAACCATACCATTCATCCACTTTTTTAAGATGTGTATTAATTTTAAAATTATGTTATCAAAAGATTTCTGATTATGCTTCCTGTTATAAATTGTATATTTGATGTAGAATAACAGTTAAATGTATGTAATAAAATATATTATTTTCTTTTCCATATCCATAAATGAAAGTCAGTACATAGCTTAAATTTATAAACAAAAATATAAGTTTTTTTAAGTTGACAACCAAGCTGCAAAATTTAAATGAAAAAAAGGAATTGAATAACACAACCCAGAACTTGCTGAGTTAACCTTAATAAAATATAATGTCAATGAAAAACACATGCATTTGAATACACTACATGACTAAATTAGGGCATCAAGTACGTGAAAATACTCCAAATATTAGTGGATCCTAATCTAACATCTCGCAGCACCTCACAGAACTACAGCCACTTAGTGGTGGTTATGGTGCCAGGAGTAAAATGGTTCCCCTTATTGTAAGTAGTGAAGTTAAATACATGAAATTATTTCATAAAAAATATATAAATATCGGTATATAAGATTTGTTAATAACAATACAATATTACAGCAGTGGTGCCAAAAATGTTCCCTAGCATACAGTACATAAAAGAAAATAATTCTTGGCTAATCATGACAACTTTTATATTTGTGCACCCGTGCACATTTACAGTAAATAGTACGGGAAAGACATAAATTTGATCATCATAACATATAGTCTATGTCCCTATTGCCAGGTGTTACGTTGTACATCTATTTTAAACATTGCATCACAAGGTTTCTGATAACAAAAGAACAGTTGTGGTGTTCCCATTTAATGCACTTGTGACTGAAATTGTATAACCTGTAACTGTACTGAACATATATATGAAATTATTTCACAGAAAACCCACTTCTCTCACATTAAAGATCTTTCCTTTGAGCTAAAAGTAAAGTGGACAAAGTGACTTATTATAAAAAGCAGGTCTGCTTTGATGTTGGTCTGTGAGCTTACACTTTAATGGCCATTACAATGGTGCTAAAAATCTGATGTATAAGACAACATACATTGCAGCTTTGGGTTAAATGTAGGTAGCTTTTTATGGTTGGATTAGGGCGGAACACCCTAGCCAATGTAGCATTTACAGCTCTTTTATACAAACTACTAAACTAGATGGCTAGTGAGTGTACTATCTAAAAGTTATGAAGGGGACTTGAGACAGATGTTTGAAATATGATGGTAATAGACAGGGAGCCATGTAGAGCATTTGCACAGACTGCTATGATGTGATTGAGGAGATAATTGGAGAAGATGCCTTTCAATGGGAAGACATGATATAAAGTAAACACAGAGAAAGGTGGGTGGGATAGTGCTTAGTTAAAATGAAGATTGATGCTTGTTGTGCATATATGGTGTGTGAGGCCTGTAGATGGTGTAGAATTAAAGATAACAGATGAAAGTATGTTCTGCTGGGAGGAAGCAGGGTAAAACCATAGGAAGAGAAAGGGGAAACAAACATGCATTGACTAAAATATAAAACTTTTCCAAATATATTCTATCGCTAAAAATAAATAAATATATAAATCACATGTACAGAATACTGAGAGACTGGGGGGGTGGGGGGGGGGAGGATGTCTTGGCCACAATCTTAGATGGCCACCTTTTAGAGACAATAATGTTCCAAAATCTCTATTTTCAATTTTATTAGATTGAACCTGAAGCTTGATACAATTGTGAGAACTACCAGACAATATGCAGAGGCTGAAAAAAAACTGACAAAAGGGTGCCAGTACTTCAAAGTTGATGGAAGGAGCTGCTGGGGTGAGTAGGGGCTTGCAGGCCCACTCACCTAATCCTAAAACCAGCTCACGGCTTATTTTGCCACTAAAATCCCAGTTGGTGGGCTTGGGGAAGTCCCTCCCTCCCGTCTAGTTTCCCAGCGGCCGTGGGCTCGGAGCGCAATTTTGATTTTTCCGAGCACTCAATTATAAGGGCGACAGGTTTGCAGAGGAGGGGACGGGCGGCGTGAGGTCCCGATCCCCGTCGAGATCCTCAGCCTCTCGTCTGTTGTTTGCGGCGGGGGGGGCCTCTGCCGTCCTGCCTAAAATATTTAAAGATACAGCCAGGGCTACAGAGAGCCCAGAAGAACCAGAAATGGAAATGGGAGCTGACATGCTTCAAACATTTACATATTCAGCACTACCACAAAGAGCCAAATATGATGTCAATATAAATATGGCTGCTACTGTAGATACTGTTACTGCCACATCCAAGATGGCCACTGCCACCTCCAATATGGCCACCACTACACCTAAAGCTGCAACATATAGCCTCACTATGCCACCTGAAATGGCTGAAGATTTGCCACCACCAGCTGGCATGTTAATTGAACTTATCCAAAACTTAAGAGTGGACCTAAAAATTACTTTAAAAAAGATTTTAAGACAAAATATGGAGTTGTGGAAGGAATTAACCAGCCCATGGAGGAAGTGGAAAATAGATTGCATTTCCAAGAACAATCTTATTTGGATTTGGTAGACAGAGTAAAGACGCTTCAAAAGCAGGTGAACCAGCAGGCAGAGAAATTGGAGGATGCTGAGGATAGAAGTAGACACAATAATTTAAGGATGGAGGGGATCCCGGATAATATTGACACTGCGGAACTACCAAACAACTTTCAGACTATGGTGAGGGCAGTTAAATTGACTGCCACTAACTCAGAATTATTGCTGGATCATATCCATAGGCTGCCCAAGCCTAGCAGTGCAACTACGGCTGTGCCCAAGGATGTAATAGTGCGATTTCACGATTATCACATAAAAGAGGAATTCTTGGTTGCAGTGCGCATGTCTGGCCTCTCTGGGGAGTTCCAATCTGTTACATCAGAGTTATGTCGAAGAGGGATAAGGTATAGATGGGGATTCCCAGTTAAGGTACCCTTCCGCATAGATGGGCAAAATGTCATCATCACGTTGCCCGAAGAGGGAATGGAAGTTCTTAACTCTATGAGCAGATGTTCATTACCATCTCATAGGCTATCACCCTTAACCTCTGTGCAGGCCAGCGAGTGGAGTAAACCAGACGCTTCATAAAGACCAACGCAGTTCCTGAGTTTCTAATTTAAGAGTTTTCAGTCTACAGAGTCCTAGTCTTTGAAATTTCTGTTCACACGCCGATTGACGGATTGCTTTAAGGTGTGGCACATTTCATTGGCTCTATTTTTGTTGCTTTTGCTTTTATACTTATATTTTTTTATGAGTTTTTTATTTTATTTTTTAATTTGTGTTACTCTAAGAAAACTTTATCTTTGAACCATGCTACTGATTCCTGCTCCAGTCTTGGAATATGCCGGGATTACTTGAAAATGTGCTTTAGTTTTTCTTTTTTTGATTGACTTCTGGGATTAAATACATGTGGTTCCTTCTTGTGTGCCACAACTGTTTATCCCAGAATTTGACTTGACTATTTAAAACTGTTTTACTTTGAAGTAACTATTCTCTCTTATACAATGGTTTAAGATTGTTTTTCTGCCTACAATTTGTCCCCAGTAGGCTTCTCTCCCCCCAACGTAGGCCTAACACCCTGAGATGGAGAATTTATTTTTATTCTCCCTCATGGCCTTTTTTTAAGATTGTTTTTTTCTCCCCTAATAGGGGTATACTCACAAGGTTTTTATTCCCTTTTTTACTTTTAATTTTTTTGTCCATCCAATTTTTTGATGCATATGAAAAGTTTCATACAATGGAATCTACTTTAATATAAAGCATACTGTTCAACTTGCTTAACTCAATATGATTCTTAATATTTGAATTGATTTACATCTACCTTATCTTTGTTTGCACTTGTAAGAAATCTGGTTTCTGTGTTATAGAAATATTGGACTTGCTTTTTCTCCCTTGGTGCGTTGGTGTTCGGTCTCTCACATTTCTATTTTCTTTTTTTCTTATTTCTACAGTAATTACTGACATTTTTATCCCTTAATGTGAGGGGTCTGAACACTGCGCACAAGAGGAGATTATTATTCAAAGAAATGCAAGTCTGATGTTGTATGTGTACAAGAGATACATTTTAAGGCAGATAAAGAACTTAAGCTAATGACAAAGCTTTTCCCATCCCAATTTCATACTGTGTATAAAAAAAAGATGTAGAGGTGTATCGATTTTTTTTTAATAGGAATGTGGCTTGCTCAGCAGACAAGGTGGTAACAGACAATGATTGGAGATATGTGCTATGGATAGGCAAAATTAATAATATAGAGTATACTTTAGTTATTGTATATTTCCCAAACACCGGTCAGTTAAGTTTTTTTTAAGAAAAATAATGGACTTAGTGAATGAGAATGTATGTGGACACTAGATAATGTGTGGTGATATGAATTTTGTTATGCTCCCATTATATTGCATGTAGATGAGATTAGAGCTTCAATTCTGAATTGAACATGGAAATTAAGTGACTACTTGTTGAGTGATGAGGAAAATAGGAAATTAGCAGAAAGGGCTTTGAATGATGTTCTATCTGAAGTTCCTGGTCAGGTAGCCTGGAATCAGGGTCGGACTGGCCCACTGGGATACCGGGAAATTTCCCGGTGGGCCGTCGGCACCTGGGGCCGGGCAGGCAGCTGGCTCTTCTTGCAGCCGCAGAGGGAGCTCTTTTGGCGGCCGCAGGGGGAGATGGCTGTTCTGTCTCTGCTCCCCCTCCCCAGCGTATTACAAAGAGACCAGTACTACAAAGAGCTCCAGTCTCATTAAGCTGTGCGCTGGGGAGCAGAGACAGAACAGCCAGCTCCCCCTGCGGCCGCCAAAAGAGCCAGCTCCCCCATGCGGCCGCCATCAGAGCTCCCCATGCCAGCAATTATGTGTGTCAGTGTGAGTGTATCTGT